ACCCTTCAGTCTGCGGGGGAGAAAGGGGGCCCCCAATACATCACCATCATCTTCTTCTTCCTGCTGCTGCTGCTGCTGCTGCTGCTGCTGCTGCTGCTGCTGCTGCTGGTGCTCGTGCTGCAGCAGCTGCTGCAGCGGTTGCTGCGGTTCTTCTATGTATTTGCTGCTGTCTCTGTATGTTTTGTGTATACAAGGAATAGCAGCAGCAACAGGCAGAGCCTCAGCAGCAGAGATGCCCTCGGGGAGCTTCGTTACTATTTCCATTTCTAGTGCGGATAGATACTTCGATTCGAATTGTATATTTGGGCTTACTGCTGCTGCTGCTGCTGCTGCTGCTGCTGCTGCATCTGCTGCTGCTGCTGCTTCGAGTAAGTCTGAACGTAATGACTCTGGCTGCTTCTGCTGCTTCTGCTGCAGCAACTGAGACAAACGAAACTTTAATATAGATACAGCAGCAGAACGAGCTTCTTGACCATGAAGCATTTCTTCTGCTGCTTCTTCTTCTTCTCCTGCTGCTGCTGCTGCTGCTGCTGCTGCTGCTGTTGCTGTTGCTGCTGCAGCAGGCACGTGACAGCCTTCGAGGGAGTAGGCCAACACCAACTGAGCCGCTCCTCCTGCTGTTGATCCTCCTCCTGCTGCTCCTGCTGCTGCTGCTGCTGCTGCTGTTGCTGCTGCTGCTGCTGCTTCTGCTGGGCCTGCTGCTGCTCCTAACCCTGCTGCTGCTGCTGCATCCACCTGCATGCGCTGCTTCTCCCGCTGCACCCAGGAAGGAGAAGGGGGGACGTCAGGGTCCAGAGCTGCTGCTGCATCTGCTGCTGCTTGTGCTGCATCTGCTGCTGCTGCTTGTGCTGCATCTGCTGCTGCTGCTGCTCTTGCTGCTCTTGCTGCTGCTGCTGCTGCTGCTGTAGATGATGGAGTAGGAATAGGAAGCAAGTCCCAAGGGTAATCGTCAGGCTGCTGCCATCGACCCCCTTCTTCTGCTGCTGCTGTCAGCAGCTCATAGCTGCTGCTAGAAGCATCATCTGCTGCTGCTGCTGCTGCTGCTGCTGCTGCTGCAACCCCTGGGAGCCCCAGGAAGGATGCAAGCAGCATGCAGCAGAAGCTGCTAATCGCAGCAACACAAACAAACCTTGCTGCTGCTGTCCCTGCTGCTGGTGCTGCTGGGGGTGCTGCTGCTGCTCTTGCAGCAGCAGCTGCTGCTGGTGATGCTACTGCCGTTGCTACTGCTGCTGCTGCTGCTGCTGCTGCTGCTGTTTCGCCTGCGTTAGAGCTGCTGGAGGGCCTCCGAAGGAGACACAGAGGAGACAACAAACGAAGCATTGATGGCGGGCCCGTTAGTAAGGGGATGAGTGAAGCAGCAGCAGCAACAGCAGCAGCAGCAGCAGCAGCAGCAGATCTGCTGCTGTAGGGTAAACCTGCGCCTGGCGCATGCAGCAGAAAGCCCCAAACGCATGAAGGCAGCAGAT